TTTCCCAATTGAGACTAAAGCTCAAACTCCACAGGAAAAACCTGTAACTGATGGTTATACTGTTGGATATATGTCAACAATCTGTGATAAAATTATATATGCTAATAAATAATAAATGCGAATAGGAAATTAACAGAGTATGAACAATGAAATAATATTGAACAGAAATATTGCTGATCGAGGCTTTCGTACTGCAATGTCCTTGAAACAGAAATTTTGTCCCTACTCAGTGCTTGTAGTTCTATGGACGTCTGCTTCACCAGGATTCAACGATCAAGTCAAAATTCCAACAACGGAAAACTTGACTTCTGGCGAATTTCTATGTGGTTCTCTCAGTAAGGATGTTTTGGATTATAAAAGAAGAATTGTATTTTCTGTGTTCTAAATGCCATGCAGATGGATGTATATATAATATGATTATGCCTGTTCGCAACAGGTATGAGGAATTGATGCATTTGTTGGGAGACATCTTCTCAGAAGGGTGTTTTCTTTCTGCGTTCTTTCACACTTCAGACTTCATCTGAAAAATGAGTATGTTGGTAAAAAATAATTAATTAATTAAATTCGAAATTAATTAAAAATAATTAATTAAATCCGAAATTAATTAATTTATTTATTTATTAGAGCCCGAGCCCCAAGGTCCAAGGCCCATCTTTTGATAATTAATTATATATTAATTACCAATTAATTAGTATACTCCAAAGCCCAACCCCAAGGATGAGCCCAATTTTAGTCTCAAAGGCCTATCACTTCAATCACTTTCTATAAGGGACAAAGCCTTATAAAGTGATGAAACATTTTGGGAATGGCCAATGTGGGACAAAGAAATTTCTACTCAAATTTCCAACAATACCCCACATTTGAGTTGAAATTTCATTCAAACTCCAACAATGACCCCACATTTGAATGCAAATGTAAATGCAAATGTATGACTAGGCTGCCTAGTGAAAACATATCGAGTTTACTTGGTGACGCAGTGGATGTGGAAGATCTTGAACTGTTCATCGCAGTAGTAAACCGAGACAATATGCTACATACATATCATGTTTGCCACACGTCAATTCATACAATTGTGTTCATTTTGGCCCTGAACATATCCCGGATTTCGTAGGAGCTTTAGAGAATTTAGCCATTTCAATTCTCATAAATGCGGCCCCATTTACTCCTATATAGGTGACATTAAATAAGAATAGTCTACCATATTCCTCTTGATAACAAGATATTAATGTCATTAAATGTATTACACATAACCCCTCGAATTTCAACAAACAACACACATTTTATCATAAGAATGGGTAAGTTGTGTGTTCAACTTTTGAATCAAACTCAACCAGTGTGCCTATTGAACCTAGTCCATGGGATATCCAATCAGCTAGGTTAGGTTTCCACCCAATTCGATTCATTGAATTGGCTTGAGACCCATTCCTCTCGATGTAAATAACATTTGCTCTTTTGGTAGGCCTTTTGTCAAAGGATCAACTATATTTTCCTTTGACTTTACATAATATTTGCTCTCTTGTAGACTGCATTGTAGATGTGAGGGAGTTCTGCAAGAAACTTGACAATGAGGGTGCAAACATCGTTGGCAGTTTCATAACCACCAATCAACAACCCTTTAGTCTTACTATTGATATCTAATTCCTTCATGTAGGTTCCATCCTGATCGCATGTCATGAACATGTGTGACAAAATGTCTTGAATCGGAAAAGCCATGCCAACAGCCAAATCAGTCTTCCTCTGCTTTATGATCTCTGTCAACTCCCCCTTGATGGATTTGGAGGCCTCAATGGCTTTGCGAAGTGGGGTCTCCGGAAAGTCAATAGGCATCGATATGACTTCGGCGTTGGCCAGATACAAAGAATGGCCTAGTTTGTCTATGTCCTTTGGGTCCTCAAGGTTAAGAAACAAACGTGCAGCAATCGCCAAGTTGTAGTTGAAGTATTATTATGCATGCACATGTAAATATATAGGCATAGAGTAGTTCTAGCATTCAACTAGCTATATATATATGTGTGATTTCAGACAATAATTAAATTTAATTAGTAACCTGTTTACATGAAACTTTATCAAATTAATATCGATCACGACATTGATATTCTGAATGATATAACATTGTTGATTCTAAAAATTACACAACTTACATGGACCGCCAAAGTAACTAGGAGTTAATTACTTTCTTTGGTGCTTGAATGATGATGTGGGCATGCCAATTTGCTACCAAAACTTGGTTAGGCAAAGGTCTTGAATGGGTGAATTTGGTGGAATGCGATGCTGACTTCTGAATTAAGTGATTTCGTCCAAGGAAGGAACACTCTCGGCCTTGGATTCTATAACCTGAAGACAAGGTTATGCCAATTGCTGTGAAGTTCAATAATGATTCGGCTATCTGTGTGCTGAACTTTAAAAATAACATGAAAGTAACACCTCACTTTTTTGAGGAAGTTGATGAAGTGACCTCTTTCAACAAAAGAATCAAAAGATTATTTGGCAGTTGAGACTTGGATAAACAGTCAAATAGACTTGGAAAAATCCCTATTTAATCAAACAGCCGAAACTCCTAAGGTAAACTGAATCATAACAACAGCTCTGTTTAACCAGAAGGTCGCCTTTGCAGGCTTCTTTTGGAAAGTCCCGTCTACCTAACCGATCGTCGTTCGTCGACTACCAACCCAAACTCGTCTAACCAAACATACTTTGTGTTGACGGTTAGTAAGCAATTTAGTTTTCTCAAAAGGTGTGAGAGGTTTCGCGTAGAGTGTTGATTTGGGTTTTGAGTTCAAGCTCTCCTCTACATTGAAAATTATCTTGTATTTACGGGAAAAAATTCATTGATTGCCAAGTCTGCCAAGTTATATCATAAAAGTAGTATCCTCCCCCATGACTTTCTATGAGGTACATAGTTGTTTTCAGATATTACAAAATGTTAGGACAATCTATTGGTGCACAATGGCATGGTTGTCAAAGTTATAGCTCATAAAGTAACTCATAATACACAATTAAACATCATAGATATTGAACTCAAGCCTCTTAGTTGATGTTAACAGCCATATGTAGTGTGTCTGTGAGCTGGTTAATATTGTCAACACCCTTCTTCTTACTTGTATGAATAAACTTCTTCCAATCTTTCCTCCCAAGTAGTTTAGCGGAAAGCGATGGACCATTTTCTATTTCGACATATCAGAAAATGTATGACTAGTATGGTTCAAAACTGCTGATGAGCAAAGAATTGTTGCATTCTAATATTTACCTATATAGGTGATGAACATGATTGGCGAAAAGGAAAAGTTGCGGTTATGGTGAATGATTTGGTTGACACTGCTGGTCAATCAGCATGTTTGGGACATTTTCAAACAAAATCATACATTTTCATTAAAAAAAAATAGTTATACATAATTAAAAAAATTTGAAGGAGGCGGGAGAATAAAATTTTAGAGACTACTGAACATGGTCAAAAATAAATATTTACAAGCTAGGCTTTCAAAAATACATATTTCATTGTTGGAAATAAAATTTCTGACACTCGAGTTTTTGTCGAAAATATATCATCGCAAAAAATAGATGTCATATGGAAAGTAATTTTAAGAATCATTTAAATATTTGTGATCATATTAACATGTCAGAAATGAAGAAGTTTGTCATTTTCAAATTTTGATCTAACGAAAACTAACTACTAAGGACAGGTTTTGTGCGTTGATAAAAAAGTATTTTCAACAGCTGGTAAAAAAAAAAAGTATTTTACATGGAAAATTTTATGCAGCCAAGCGAGGACTTTTTTTTCCATCAGAATAAGTATTTGCAAAGACAAAATGGCTTACTGACGACATTTGACCCTCGCTAATGACCATTTTTTTTTTTTGTAGATCAAGGATCACATGCTTCATTGCACGAGACAAACACTGTAAGTTTTAAAGAACACGAAACTATTACAAGTGAAGAAGAAAAATCCTTATGCTGAATTACCTCGCAATATACATGATCCATTGGAATATCAAAGTAACCCAATGACTGCCCAGAATGAATATCACCTCTCAATTTACATTGTTAGATTATTTTTATCCATAAATTAGTGATTGTTACTTTGTTGGTTGTTCACCCTTGTTTCATTAAGAGCATCCTGCCAAAGTTGGGGTTTAGGGTTTGCCCTTATTCTCGCCCTTGCTTTTCATCGCCGGATGGTTTCTGTAAAACAAATATATAAGCTATGAAGGCCAAATGCTTCAATCAAAATATGCCGACTTTTTATTCCTTAACGCATCACTAATTGATAGACAAAAACAATCTAACAATGTAAATTGGCTCCAGAACTAAACTAAAGGGATTGGTCACTAAATTACAAGAGCACAAGTCAACTCAATTTGCAGCCAGTATAAAATTCCGGTGTTGTTGCCAACACCAAAAAAGTGCCATCTAGCACTATTTCTTTACAAATGCTCTCTTACATTTTTACAAATTCAAAGTGCGTGACATTTTTGGAGTGTAAAAAATAACTCCCTATATAAGAACACAAGTTGACTTATAAAGGAAAGTAGGTAGCTAGTTAATAATATTGATTTAATAAATCACATGTTTTGATGTTCATGTTGTGTTAAGTTGGCGGCAACATGGATTTCAAGAGAATCCAACATCGAAGAAGTACAAGTTACGACAATGTAGGTGGTTCGCTTCTAATTAAACCGAGATCTTTTAAGATAAAACCCTACGCTCATGAAGCTCCGACACAACAATTGGTATCAAACCCTAATTTGGCATTGGCGCAAACGTTGAAGTTCTAAATTAATATTTTCTTTGGTATCTTCTATAATCATGTAAACGTATATGGCCTTCTTCTGTCCGTAGAGCAATAACGGTTGTGAGCAAACAGATAACCATAGTTCATAAACAAATCAGAAACACACAACTTAGCTACTCTATAAATATCAGTTTAATCGGTTAAGAACTTACAGCTTCCAGTTCAATATCCTTAGAGCCCTCAAAACCTCTTAACTTGTGAAAAGAAAAAAATGAGTGTCACAAGTGTTACCCAAACGGTACCCAAAATTCCAGTAGTAGATTTCTCCCAAGAGGGTTGCTTGAAGCCAGGGAGAAGTTCTTGGCTCTCAGTACGTGGGAATGTTTGCCGCGCACTCGAAGAGTTTGGCTGTTTCATGGCAGTCCTGCCCAACAAAGTTTCACCTGAGCTTCAGGACAGCATGTTTGGGACATTAAAAGAGCTGTTTGATTTCCCAATTGAAACTAAAGCACAAACTCCGCAGGAAAAACCTGTAACTGATGGTTATACATCTACGTCTTTCCATGAAAGCTTGGCAGCTGGTACAGACAGTGAAAAATCACGCACATTCGAACATCACTTTTGGCCTAATGGAAATGATCAATATCGGTATGGTTTTGTCTACATTTGATAAATGATTGAGTTCGGAATATATCGATTCAACATTTACATTGTTGTTTTGTCTAGTCAGGGCCGTTTTTAAGATTTTGGAGGCTCTGTGCAAAATTTATAAAATGGCCCAATTTTAAGATAGCTTTTATCTTTAAAAAAGTAAGACAATATATTGGTACTAGAAAATAATAACATAAATAAAAACAACCTTTAGGACTCACTATAAGTTTACAAATGTCATTAAATAAGTAAAAAGAGTTACAAATATAATCTTTACTAAATAATAAAAAACAATTCAATCTTAAGCAACCAAATAAAGAAAGAAAAAAAGCTTAAAAACTCTAACTTTAAAGTTTCACTTGAATATATAGCATTATTATACAATAAAATTGAAAAGAAAATCGTTTTTTAAGGTGTTGTTATTGGCTCTCCTACTATCTTATTGTGCACTCCAAATTTTTTTTATTTAGAAAGAAAAAAAAATTACACTTATAAAAAGTACACTATAAGATTTTAAAGTGCTAATAAAAGTATTTTTAATATATAACATTATTACATATAAATATAAGATACCAAAAAATTTTTGGAAGCCCTGTGCGATTGCACTTTTTACTCCCCCTCAACGCCGCCTCTGTATCTAGTGAGAGTGCTGATGCGTATACAAAAGTGATGGCAGAACTACATCAAGTGGTGACAAGAATGGTATTCGAAAACTATAATGTAGAAAAATACCATGATGATCACGTCCAATCGATTGTATCCACTCTCCGCTTTATGAAATATAAGAAACCCGAGAAAACCGGAACTGGACAGGGTCTACCCGCGCATACAGACAAGACTTTTACTACCATACTCCACCAAAATCATGTCAAAGGTCTTGAGATATTGTTCATGGCGTGCGAAGGATTTCAGGTATGCCACCATACACTTCCAGTAATCTTTCTGTTTCATGGATATAAACGCGGCTATGTCATAGGCTAAAAGGGGTTCTATTTCTATATGGATTAATTTCCCTCTTCACCTGTATGAGTGATCTTAAGTTCGGATCTCGTAAATAATCTATGTTTTTTCTTGCCTAGGTTTGGAGCAACGACAGAATATCATCTTGTAAACATAGAGTCAATTTGAACATAAATGAGGTAAGATCCTCGTTTGGACTATTTTCGTACTTGGAAGGGGTGATACGCGCACCAGACGAGCTTACCGCCGAGGACCAACCCCTGAAGTACAAGCCATTGCATATGTTGGATTATGTTCAATTTTTTCTGGACAATCATCGTAATGTTGGAGTTGAGTATTCTGTCAAGGAATATTGCGGAATTTGATTTCCATGTTCAAAGGCCCAAAGGCTCCAAGCTTAGCCTATCCCCTACTGTCTCTTTCTTTCAAAATGTTATGTGCTTTTTCTTTTTTATTTTAGCAACCATGTTGTGTGTTTGTTTTCAATTACAAATTGAATTATGTCATTAATGTTGCTATATTTAAATAAATTCATCACCACTTCAAAGATGAATAGTCATCTTGTACTTATAAGTGCAATTTCCATCACATATCAAATTCGTAAGAGTCTCTAACATGCTCCGCACTAACCCATACACCAAATTCTGCAAGTCAAATTCTTGGTTAGGTTCCAATAATCAACATCTATTGGTCAAAAATCTCGATGTATAAGATACACCAGAGCATTGTACAATTTCTTTTCTTCGAAATATGGTACAATAGGATTTTGACCATTAAAATTCTTGGTTAAGGATCCAATGCCCGAGATCTAACGGCCAACAACTACTCTGTATAGGATACACACCTGATAACAAATTATGATTTTCCATCAACCCTAACAGCTGAAACTTCCAAAGCTGTATAAGCTATAAGCTCACTGAACTAGGTCAAAATTTGGGTTGAAAGCAGGGTGTCCTTTAGGAGCCCAACCAACTCCTGGAATTGACATTTCTTTCTACATTACTCCATTACAAATCTTCCAACTCTTACAATTCTTAACGCAACCTATATTCTGAGACCTACTTGGGGACATTAACTCCTCCCCCCACCCCCACCCGAAAAAATCTGTGGAGAACTAATAAATCAGAATACTTGGATGGGTAAACCAATGTGGATCGAAATATAGAAAACAGCATAATATAGATTTTAAAAGGAGTCGGTCACTGGCATTGCCTATCATCATCCATGCGCCATTTAGTTCTGCCCAAAAGGGTGTCGGTCACTGAAATATGCTACTCACAGAACAATCATCATGCACGCGCCATATAGTTTCGCCCAAAAGGTTTGCTACTGAAAGGACTGTCAACTGGGGAAAGTAATTCTTCTCTGCAACAGGGATTGTGTTTGTCACAATCACCTCTTGAAACAGGCCATTTGACAACCTTTCGATTGCAGGAGGGCTGTGAAGAAAAACCAACAAGATCATTATCTTATGATTTGATACGGTATCACCACCACATTACACAATGATTTAAACAACTAGCAAAACAAACTCAGTTGTTGGTTCATCTCGATATCACATTGAAAATTAACAGGTGCTAGTAGATAAGGTAGATATCAATTCTTATTTAGTATAGGTGGAACTTGGATCAGTAACTGCCAGCTAGAATTACAAGCCATTTTATCAACTTAAAAAGGAAAAACAAAATCCAAGTTATACCAGTCAAATGAGGTGACGAAGGTTATCTCTAGAAAGAAGTAATAACAACGAATGTTATTTAGTGAAATAGATTAAGAAGATCAAACACTACAAAGGAAGTTGGTACCTAAACACAGCATGGGTACAGCAAGCATAGACTTCTCTTGCCCCCTCCTGATGTAATAGAGCTGCACCTTTTGAAATTGTCCCTACAATGTATAACTCGTTTAGAAAGTGAGAAGTGCCAGCAATTTTGAATGATACATCCCACATGGAATGGTTCAAGAGAGGTCACTTGACTCACCAGCAGTGTCAATCATATCATCCACCATAACCGCAACTTTTCCTTTTACATCGCCAATCAGGTTCATCACCTATAAAGGTAAATATTAAAATGCAACAATTCTTTGCTCATTAGCAGTTTTGAACCATACTCGTCATACATTTTCTGATATGTCGAAATAGAAAATGTTCCCTTGCTTCCCACTAAACTACTAGGGAGGAAAGATTGGGAGACGTTTATTCATACAAGTAAGAAGAAGGGCGTTGACAATATTCACTAGTTCACAGACACACTACATCTGGCTGTTAACATCAGTCAGTTTCACACTCTGTAAGAGACTTGAGTTCAATATCCAAGACGTTTATTTGTGAATTGTGAGTTACACTAGGAGCTATAACTTTGACAATCATGCCATTGTGCACCAATAGATTGTCCTAACATTTTGTAATATCCCAAAATAACTATGTACCTCATAGAAAGTCATGGGTGTGGAAACTACTTTTAAGAGGAATGTGACAAGTAACGTGATTTATATTTTGAAGTCAATTGATGAGAATAAAAACTTCTGCAAGAACGACTGCACACAATTTATTATATCTATCTCCTAATATAATGTTGCATGTGAAGCATTATACGCTATGCAGAGATCTAAGCAGGGTTATGGTGAAGAGATTACCTCAGCAACATTATGTCCTTGACGCCTTTTGTCTACAATGGCTAAAGGTGCATCAGATAACTTTTTTGCAAAAGCACGTGCTCTTGCAACTCCCCCAACATCAGGGGACACCACTACCAAATCATCTGAACAAATTGTTTTGCTTGCAAGATAATCAAGGATCACATGCTTCATTGCACGAGACAAACACCGTAAGTTTTAGAGAAAATGAAACTATTACAAGTGAAGAAAAAAAATCCTTGAGCTGAATACCTCACAATATACATGATCCACTGGTATATCAAAGTAACCTATTGACTGCCCAGAATGAATGTCACAAGCAAGAACGCGGTCTGCACCTGCTATGGTTATGAGGTTAGCAACCAGTTTGGCTGCAATGGATTCACGCCCTTGAGTCTAGAGAAAAATAGAAGAATACAAATTAAGAAATAATACTTCATCCGTCTCTATGAGTATAAGGGGTGTGCTATCCACACACCCCTTTTTACTTCTCACACACCTTTGTTAATTTCTGTCCTTTGATCTTCTTCAATTCATCCGATCCGACGGTCGAAAATCAAAAAGGTGTGGGAAAAGTAAAAAGGGGTGTGTGGATATCACACCCCTAAGTATAATTCAGTTCAAATGACAGACAGGCCATGCCTCAATTAAAATAGATGTGAATAACTGTAAATATGAAACTTTGCTCTGGCCACAAACTTAATTGATATCCCCTCCCATTGATAAAGCATGAATAAAACCACTGAGACTGCAACACTTCCCAAGTTTTGTTTGTAGTCTTTGATCTCCATATATTTCCGACAGATAGATATCCAAGACAAGTTCATGTACAACACAGATGAATATAAACTTGCCTTTCTATCAGCTCTGGCATATCCAAAATATGGAATTACTGCAGTAATATTTTTGGCCGATGCCCTCCGGCAAGCATCAATTACTATCTGTAGTTCCATGAAGTTCTCATTTACAGGAGGGCAGGTTGGCTGCAGTAAGAACACATCACATCCTCTAACACTCTCTCCCAATTGAACATAAACTTCACCATCAGCAAATCGCTTTATGTTGATCTTACCAAGCTCCACTCCCATGTACCAAGCAATTTCCTGTGCATCATCTCAGAGTTAGAAATCATATGAAAAAGCCTCAAGAGCTATAAGAGATTTATTGTGTTGAAATGAATAACTTATAAGAAGGATGTTTAACAAATTTTTCAAGCAATACACAATAGTTCAAAAACAAAAGACATACAATGCATGTCTCACCCCTATCTTTTTAAGATATAAATATGGAAATGATAAACATGCACCATTTTAGCCTCTCATACACATGCCTAAGAATGTGTTATGGTGCTACATTTCGAATTAAAACCATTGATTATATCAAATCATGCCTAAGGATGTGGTCCAGATTCTTAACATGCGAGACATCTGGTAAGAGAACAGTACCGAGTATATGCAGCATATAAGCAAACACAAACAAAAACACACATGCCCACGCGACGTGTGCACACATATACATATACAAAGACTTTCTGTATTGCTGTAATTCAATGTCAAAAACAGCTTCATAAATTTAAGATGGCAGATAATGTTGAAGTTCAGTCTTGTATTTGTAATGAAGGTTTGAAATAGTGCATCAAACTCAGATAAGCTTCTTGTGCAAAGAACATCAAGCATGTACATTGGCAAGAATGACGACAATTAGCCACTAAGGGGCTGGACTGGAAGGCTTAAGGGCACATTCTGAAACTACTAAGTGGAAGGTCCAAGACATTATATTCTACAACACAAGGCATAATAGTTTATATTCTCAATGGGGGATACTCTGAACAGGCAGAAAATGCAGGAAAGAACTTAAACAATTTCTGGAAAATTAATAAATATTGGTTCTATGTGTAGCAAGAATTCTGTAAGAGTGCTAGTTACTTAAGTATATCATCGTCATTAAAACACTAAACATTTTTTGCTCTATATGCCAACGGGGAAAGCAGAAATGCTCATTGAAAGCATACATACACTAAACTATAAACGAAATTTTGATTACCTGAGAGAGAGCAGGATTTGCTGTTCCAGAAAACAGTTTGAGCCGGGAACTATCTCTGTTCACCGATTTCTCCAAGCGTGCCGATTCCAAGAACTTAGGCAGTGTTCGTTCGTTAACAATCGGAATGATTGGCTTCCCATTTCCGTATTTAATTGGTTCCGGCATGTCACATTTCTACCACAATTATATACACACACAAATTAGTAAAATTTGAAAAGGAATTCAAATAACTCATTAGAATTTTGTGTAGAAAATGAAAACAAAGACAACAAATTTCTTTAGCTGCACCCAAATACCCACTACCAGCATTTCACCCAACATGTCAAAAACTCACAAAATTTGCACAAAATTCGTATTAAAAATGGAGAAAACCAACACCTAAAAGAAATTTACTTTTTAAAAACAAAATAAAAATATTTGCTGGAAGCCTAAAACCAAACAAGTAAAGCAGAAAATAATACACAGGAATTTAAAGCCGAATAAGAACATAAAATTATGAGCTTGCTTACGACGCTATTAGGGGCGTAGATTCGAGAGGCAGAGTCATTGGGGAGCAGAGTTCTATGGCTGACGGAGCAGCGAGAGAAGAGAGACGAAAACGACGAGGACAATGAAGACGATGAGGCAGCCATTCCTGTATCAATCCAACAATTAGGGTTAGGGTTAGGGTTTTGGAAAAGAGGAG